TACCGGTTTACCGTTTCGTCAAATGATCTGTTACCTATGTCAAACTTTCTTACAGTCTGTAATATCTTCCTGTTTTGAAATTATATCAGCATTACATTAGAACAGAATTCTGTCAACTTCTTGCAAAATAATATACAAACATCTGTGTGGTCCTATATGAATTCAGAAGTACTTAATATCAGCTTTTCGATACATTACTTTGGCACTCAGGTAAAGTTAACTTATTTGACATAAGTTGGTCAGATATATGAACACAAAAATTATCATCTTCATTAAAAAGTTTTCCTCTACTCAGTTTTGCGCATATTCTGAAACTATACTCAGAAGTATCAAAAGTTAACAAAGGTATCAAAATGAAATATACTATTCTAAATAATTCCTTCCGTCAGTGAACCCCTGACTAAAACGAATGCTACTAATTTGTAGTTGAGATGAAAGTTCGAAAAGAAACAGAAAACTAAAGTTCAAACCACAAGAAAAGACAGTATTCACTGACTTATAATTATATATGGGGGAGGTTCAGGTGATAATTAAAAGGAGCTTTCTTGTAGTACGCATGATCTCACTATACAAGCAAAAACAAAATAGTCAGTAGTTTCATCAAGGATTTAGTTAAATCTGTTTTGAAATAAATTTACCTGGTAGATAAAGCTTTAGCACTTAACATACATTCACTCGTCGAATTAATTTTATCGTAATTATATCATCTATTTACAAAATCACTTGATTGTTTTATCTGTATAATTATTATTTGTGACTGGACACAGGATATTCTTCACGTATATAGTCGTTCGTGGATCTTGTTCTTTTGATGTTTTGTTTGAACTTTAAATTATGTTAACTTTTGCTTTTAACACTGCTATTTATTGTAAAATTAGGCTGTTTGTAACTATAAGTGACTGACAAGAATATCGATTTGGATTTCTAAAGGGGATAGGATTTAAATCTTCTTTGACGTCATCCCGAAGTGCAGGAAATTAATTTCACTCCATTAACAAAAAATCAACTTGAAAATATTAATTCAGTTTAACGAACTATTCGAAACATATGGCATAATAATACAAGTGTCAAGATTTTATAAGTTTCATATCCATAGTGGGATTATTTCTACACCGTTTTAAATCAATACACTTAAAAAATATTAATTTTTGGGGATAATGTATTTACTTTTTCTTCAAGAATATTTTCATTTTGACAGATGAACATTTTACGCAACTAAACTCCCTGGAAATTTGTTACAAAAAAATACGCCCTCAGATTATCCCCGAATATTTTAGTTATTCAAACCAAATTGGGCTTTCGTGACGTAAGATGGTAGGCATATGAAAAAAACTAGTAGGTCGATAAGAACATATTGATTTTGTTGAAGCATTATTGCTTAAAACCGACGACTCTATAAAAGTGGCAAAAAGCAACAGGAATCTTATTTTTAAATATTATCATGAAATAACCGCTGTCTGTCTAAACAGAAAGTGAGATTATAGATAAGTGTTGGTGGGCGATACATTAGTAAATAGAAATTTTAATAGTTGAATTCATGAATCGATCTTAGCTAGACCACCATTGGAAACCTGAAGGTACTGGACGGTCGTTTCGTCCTAGTATAGGACTCTCCTGAAGTGCTCATCCACGATCCCATACACGGGACTCGAATCCAAGACCTTCGGGCTCACGAGAGAACGCCCAACATTTAGACCACTGAGACGGCATCCAACACTGTTAATAAATAAAAATAATATATTTGTAATATCCCAATGAGTAGAAAATTGGATTTTTCTGACGTTTCGTGGCTTAGTGTAAGTCACTTCTTCAGAGAATAAATAACCAAATTAAATTAATCCAAGTTTAAATAGTACTCATTGGGATATTACAAATATATTATTTTTATTTATAACAATCAACCCAATGCTCAATTTATTCGAAATTATCAAACCAAACCTTGGTAATGACACCTACAACACTGTTAATGTCTAACTTCAACTAATTCACGATATTGCGCGACCATCTTCCATTGTCCTCGATGGGTAACTATCTCAAACCCTACACGGATTCAACTACACTGGTCACGACTTCTCACTAGAACTTCGAGAATCACCTTTCGAAGCTAGTCACTAATCAGCTCATGATGGATGAGAACTGCTGAGGTGTTCCACATTAAGATGAAACGAACGTCCTTCACGTTTTCGATGGTGTTCTAGCTTAGATGGATTCATGAACTCAACGATTAAAATTACTAATCTCCACAAAGCCCCATTTTGAAAGTGAATTGTTAATTTATTCAGAGTTAGAATAAAAAAGTATATTTAATTACTCTCATAGGATAATTTTACATGATAAAATTTTAATTCTAAGAGTTGATATTGGCTGCAATAATCGTATTGATTCATAAGGAAAGGGACAGATTGTTTTAGTGGTCAAACTTTTCAAGCAAGTGAAATTAAATTTATATGATCAGAGATTACTAAATCAGACAGAAATATGATAAACACTATTTTTCTCAAAAGCCGGGTAAGAATCATTCCCCGTATGGTAAATTGTTATAAATATTCTCTGACTCCCTGGAAAATTGTTCGAGGTCTACACCAGTATTTGCAGTAACTTCCCATTCGTAAGGTGAAAACACGTATACATGTAAAGTAAATATGTCAGTTAAATTCGAAGAAACTTTTATTGAATAAATCAATATGTCTGCACTTCGTACTAACGTAGTTACAAGTACTACCACGGAGATGTAAAGCAGGAAATTCTTATTCACGCTAAGAGAATAAGTAAACGTCCCAAAAGTGTATACTTCCTATTTTAAAATTTGTTCTTTTTTAATCAAATATTACAAAACAAGCACTGAATGCTACGTACATGAACAGCTTAACTGACTTCTCATCTCTTATAGCTAGCTCATTTGAACATGTAAGAAGAAAAAACCGAGACATTTCGTCATACTAGCTTGTATATCAAAGTAAAAATGGATAGACACTGCTCAAAATGACCTTGGGTCCCAGAATGTATCAAAGTCGATTCGAATATTAGTATCATATTATAGATAGGTCTGAGACTAAATTGAAAAGACTTCAAGTGTGATTCACCAGTATTAAAGAGGTCTGGTGGTCAAAAGGCATTCCAGTCTTCAAATACATTGTCATTTAGTTTCAAGAGATTACTCAAGGTGCGTAAACAGCTAAAAATGAAATAACTTGAAATTTTACGAATGTTAAACTTCTCATCTAAAAAGGATTTCGAGATTAAGAATGCTTTCTAAGCGACAAAGAACCAAGCTCATTCTCCAACATGGGGCACACAAATGAAGTCACCAGTACCTGTTCAGGAATCTAGCCAAAAATTTATCTAGACCATTCAGCGATTTCTATCTAATTTTTCGACTGCTCCTTTGTTCACATTGAGGAAACCAACCGTGGTCTAATGAAACTACGAACTCATCATACAAGCAACACTGAATGAAATCCAAAGGACAAATTTCAGAACCTGTTCGTACGTGAAATTCCGGCTTTTGATTAGCTTATTCATTCGTGAGGATTCTTATGTACATATCAAAAACTATCTGATAGACATTATAAATGAAATTACTGGATTTAAGTGTTTCATAAGGTACAATATCCAAAATAACATCTTCATAAAAGATACGGCTGAATTCATTGAAATTCTCGGAGTTTGCAATCATTTCACAGTAGACAATTATTATTTTACGTCATTCGCGTCACTGTTTCTTTAAGCCTAGTGAAATGATTAATTTACTGATATAAAGAATATGAACATAAAACAGTATAGCCTCATGTATTTGTCAGGTGAGTTCCTTCACAGTGAATTTAACCGAGGTACCTAACAACAGAAAGATGTCGATATTTTGGGCTGAAGACTCGGATTCTAAATTTTTACAAAATAAAATATGGTTTTTAACTGACGATAGACAGATCTTCATCTTTCATTTTTTAAATAACGTTTATGGTTATTTGGTAAACATTCATCATTCAGGACGGTCTAATTTTAATGAAGTATTCTCATGGAACAAATACAAACCCACGACTCTAAAATCCAGATCCATTTAAGTCTTGATGTAGTGTTGTTCTCTGAGCTAGATGGTTTGGTCATGGAGCTTTCATCGTTCTTCTGAACGACATCATCAACACAAACTTCAGATAGAAGTGAAGTGTTCATTTTCTCCATTTGCGTCTCACACGTTGTTCTGTACACCTCAACGTTCATTGGTTCTTATTGACCTTAAATTTGTCATTGTTTACTTCTTTGTTTTGGTTGTCTCCCATTGGTTTGATTTTTGTTCCTATATTTGTGCATAATTTTCCTGATTGGTTGATAAATTGGATCGATTTCAATGTGCTTCTTGATTGCTGATTGACCTGAGTGCCATGCTTCTAAAACTTCTCTGGTGTTTTTTGGAATTTCCTCTCCACCATCCCATGTAAATGTGCTTCTATGCCCATATGTATAATTGCAATGCTCATGCATGTATGACCAATCAACAATAAATTTAGTATTATTCTTCACGATGGATAATAACTGTGTACCAAAACGTAATTTTATCTGATAACACCTGTCATACTGAATCTAATATTACTGAAAATATTGGCTATCTAGAGGAAAAGTTAGAACGACTGATCTCAATCACCTATATCGAAATAATTTCCATTGACAACGTACAAATATTTGAAGTGTAACTACATAAGCTTAAACTTGAAGTTACAGTGAAATGCAACTTACGATGCAATTGGTGTATATATGGTACTGTAGTTTACATGGATCAGTGGTAACAAAAATTAAGTGAACGAGATTAAATGTTGATGAAACTTGGTAGCTGGATGTGGGTTCTTGTAACAATTTTTTAGATACATTTACCAGTGGCACTTCACCACTGCTAAAATTAAAGAGCAACTTATTCACCTTAAGTCATGAATAATGGTTACATAAACGAGACAACCTTGCACTTAGGTAACCAAGTGTCAGGAAGTAAAATGAAAGTCAGGATTTTTGATAATAATATAATAAGGAAAATTGAAGCCCAATGTGATTGAAGGTTCGAAAAATTGTTTTGGTAAAGACGAGGTTTCAAAACCGATTTTCCATGCAAGACATACAATCTAGGATTTACAGGCATCATTATCATATCAACACACAAAACTGATATCAAGTTCGGAAACTAAAGGGGTTATTCAGGAACGCAAAGCTGCTGAATTGGGATGCAGGGCCAGTGGCATATTGTGAGACTCAATATCAATAAAGTGGTTGGGAGATTTAGAAGCTTCTGAGTTTTCCGAATCCATTGGACTTTCTTGAATTATCTTTGCATGATCCTCATTTGAATCAGATTTACATTGGTCTTCTTCGTCTTCTTCCTCTGCTGTTTCTAACCACGTTAACCAGCGATTGACCTGAAAATAAAAGTCACCGTGATGAAATAATTAAGAAGAGAGATTTAATAAAATAGTTTGCGTACCCTAATAGGAATTAGGATGTCAAGATAACAAACATACAAAACCGAAGCAATGAAACAAACAAATTATCAAATAAAAATAATATGGTAATAGTGGATGTTTGCTTAGATTTTGACGGTCACCGGATGTCAACTTTTTCTGTGGGTAAGAAGGATTCTCTACATGTATAAATCAGAGAATAGGTAAGAGCAAAAAAGAAAGTGAATTAACACCATGGTGGTATGTCCAACAGACAAATAAACATACACCAAAAAATGCAATTCAGAATATGGATATTGAACTCAAAGTCCTATAGAAAGGAAGAAATGATGAACGAAAACAACTAGTGAATCGAGAGATGATCGGAAGTTTTCTGATCACCTTCGAGCAACAATGCATGTTTGGGATATGTTCTCCTCCTCTGAATAGAAAACGCTGATTCAGGACGGGTCTGCGTTGTTGTCTGGATTGATCAAATGGAGTGAAATAGATGATTGCATCGACCAATTTACTCATCCTGGCTAGTATTCAAACAGCTTGCTTGGGTTTGCCAACTCACATCATTAGTTGTGTTGGCGAGATCTTCGTCTGTCGACGAGGGAGTATGCTGTTCAGAAGTTTGCTTTGTTTTACTTAATGGTTGTAAAGCGTTATACTAAACAAAGATGGAAAGTTATTTAATGAAACTGTGAATTTTTATCAACTGCAGTGAATGGGATACGTATTGCGTCCACAGAAACACCACCTAATTCGACGCGCGATGTTGGTTGGGGTAGAAATAGGCTGGAAAACAAACTAGTGACCTTCAAAGCAAATAACGGCATAAGTTAGTAGCTCTTGGTTTGTAGATGTACGCTACCCTGTGATAAGTGGTTGGAGACGTTGAGTAACATGAGTCACAATCGGTTGCGTTGAGACAGATGCATTTACTTTTGCCTTCCTTTAGATCCTGAATTTTAAAATTATCTCGTGATTTTGCATTCCACAAATTCTTATTTTCTTCTTGAACCATACATATGCTGACTCTCTACTACAACTGATGTTATTATCTCTAATATTCTGATATCACAGTTTTCTTGATATAATGTGGCAACCTGAACTGATGTATATATAAACTAGATCCTACAATGTATAATAAGTCACTGATTAATTATAATAAAATATCAAATTAACATGACAAGCAGTGTACCTCAAATAGTGCTTGGCCTTTAGCAGGATAACTGGGATTCACTTCTTCTTTCCATGATAAAAAGGCGTCTTCACATACAAGCTCACAATTATAAAGGTTCATAAAACAACGAAACAAAAACCCTGTAATAAAACATGAAACGAGCATTACTTTAGTGCTGACAAAACTCATTTCTAGACAAAGCTTTTTTATGACATAATCCTTTAACTGAAAAGCTAATTAGTATAAAATTATTGGGGAATTATTAATAGCTCGAGACTTGAACTGAGCAAATAATCCATTAGTTTCCTTTTTTACAATAACGCAATTCCTTAACAGAGATTAGTTTCAAAATGTTAAGCGTGAATTAGAAATTTTGTACATCGAATAGACGTCAAAACAATTTGGTCCTTATTTGAGTGATAATAGCAATAAACGATCTAGTCACCGACTACCGACGAAGATAATTCAAAAACAAGAATGGAAATTAATTAACTCGCCAGGTACTTGAGTATGAGTCACACACTAAGTTTGAGGACTAATGATATTGCCCGGTTGTTCAGACCGAAATAGATGAAGAGGGGGGACAAACCTGAAGGTTGAACACCTTAACCACTAAGCCACCACTCAAAAAAGAGAAGATTAATTGTTCCTATGAAATTCATTTATTTTCAAGACTTTTATTACTAACCGACTAGTGGATGCAAACCGAGTGACGTCAACAATGTAAAGCGAATTGAGTTAGACTGGAAACCATGAGCAACAAAAATACTCCCAAAGGTAGATAGTGCTGTGTTTGTCAAGAGGCTTGAAGAAGGACAATTAACTTCCCTTATCGTAAGTTTAGGGTGACTATTAATATATAAGTACTTCGATTTTAAAGAAAATCTAAACCAAGCAACATTATACGATACGAAAAGCACATGATCACATTTCCCAATATGAATAGGTGCGAATATAAAGATCACAGCAATCTGTCAAAGACTGAGTTTTCAAGAAACCTAAGGATATTCCAGGCTGTGTGGAAGTTATCTCTAGGAGATTCTTGCTACACCAACAGTCAGCGAAAATTAGCACCTCATAATCACATGAGACCCATGCGAAGTGTACTACCTAGAAACATGTTCCTACAATTTACGGTGATTCTTAACAAAAGAACAAGGATAAGTGAAATTAAAAGTTACGAATCATGATGATTATAAAGACCAGGTAGATGACTTCATATTAGGATGAGTGTAAATAGGAAGATCCTACTGACCATACCTTTTGGACCAAAATGTCGTAAATAATGTCGAAAAAAAGGATGATTAGTTGATTATAAATTTGTAAACCGTGTAAGTCTTATCTATTATAGACTCAAAGAAATTCCGTGTATCATCTGCTGCAGCTCGCATTTAACTTAAAAATAAGGAACTAACAAGACATTTTATGTGACTGAAAAGTTTTTGATTCATTGATGTGAGACTATTAGTGTCGTTTCTGATAAAATCCTAGAAACGACTACGGATACATAACATATAGTCAAGTTACCCAGTTTTAGTTTGAAACTCTGTCAAGTGATTGAATGTTTCAACTAAATACTCTTCTGGACCTTCATGTTGTCTTCTGTGATGCACTCATCAATAAAGTTTAACACCTGTAATTTTTAAACATCAAATTAACAACATTCATAAGTCATCAAAAAGCATAAAATGATGTAGCTTAGAGTAAGCACTACCATCCTATGTTAAATGAATTAAATCTACAAACAGGATGCAAAATAACTGAAAGATGACAGCAAAGGAACCCATATAAAAGCAAAATAAGCGTTTTCAATTATTCCATTAGGTTTATCATGATAAAAATCTTTACCACCAACTGATATAAAAATGATTTACTGGACAACATAATTTGAAAGTATACTGACCTTTAGGCATATTTTTATCAACCCAGAAGGACTGCAGGTCATGAAGAGCATCCAACTGTCGGTCTGTTGAGCTTCGTAAAACTTCGATAAGTACATGAGGTACTATGCACTCCCACGCAGCTTTTTCTCTAGCCATTAAAGTGGGGGGTGAAGACAAACTGCCAAGATCAATAATTCCTACTCTGTGAATATATTCATAAATGACTGGCAAGCAAGCATGAATGTAGTCTGATGCTCGTATCCCGGCATCAATTGGATGATTTGAAAGGTAATCGTTGAATTTAGAAGCTGTGATTTTGTCAGACTCTTCTGGACATTTTCCTTCTAAGGATGAAGTATCCATAATAAGGTGAGATAGTTCCGTTGACAATCGTAGGCTCGGGACGAGAAAATCTAAATTACGTTCTTCTAGCAAAGACAACAAAGCTTCGTTTGTTTGACTCCCTTCTATAGATAAAATATCATAAGTGTAATAAAAGTAAATACTACTATTAGAAATATATGTTGAACAATTACAAAGATAGAATGACGTAGAATAAAGTGCTCAAGTCCGAAAACATTTAATTCATACGCACACTGGCGGTAGCGTACAGTGGCTTCCGTAAATGTATAACTGAATGGTAGCACACAGAACATACACTGTAGCTGCCTCTGTATTCTTCAGTAATAGTTCAAATCCTTAGAAAATGGTTACAAAAGTCTAACTGAAAAGGAAATATTTGACAGAAAAAACGAACCTGGGACCATTTGATTCATTTGCAATTCACTCTCTTGAAATAATTGGATGAGCAAGGAACGTCTGTCACTCAATCCCGCTCCAGATATACAAATTGTTTCACTTCCATCTTCACTAACAATTTGTGATAAACGTTGTAGAACGAGTAAAAACAAGGGATGATGTTTACCCCCACGTAAGGGCTCACCAAATTCAGACAGACTAATATGACGACTCCAAATTAAAGCAGCTGATAATAATGCTAGTTTGGACTTGGAATAAGTTAACTGTGTCACACATAAAATCTTGCTAAGGAGGTTTGACCATACAAGAGATAAAGGATGACACGACAATTTTGTGGGTTTCGTTTTGCGATTATCCTTAGATGCAAGGAATGATGTAGACGCATCGCGATGCAATAGATTTTCAGCACATGCTACTAATATTGCAGCTAATTCACATGGTTCCGCCTCCGCCAACTTAAGATTAGTACCTTGAGGAAACAAAAGTAATTTTACTTTTAGGGTAAGATATGAGACATACAAGCAAACAAGTCAATAAAATCCAATGAGAATGTGTACTTGTGAGACTGAAACAGCTGTAATAACTATAGAAACATATTTGGAACAACTAAAAATATTGTACAACACTATGTAACATAAAAGCATTCTTGGAAATTAGATGTGTATCAAAATGATCTGCATCGGCGTTCATGAATACATGATAAGCATATACACTGAAAAACAGTATACAATTATTAAGAATATCCTCAAATAGGCAACTATAATACTAACGTTTTAATTAAATAAATCTCGGTAATGTGAGTCACTTGACAAACCTGTTAGGTTTTACTACATTGTTTCTATGAGAAGCTACTAAGCGTTATAACATATTTCTGAAGCCCACTAACGTAGATATTTGTTAGCTTATCATCACCTATGAACTGATATGCCGTACCTAGAGCTTTTAAAACCAGAGTAAAATGGAATAGTAACTATTTCTAAAGAATTATCTCAGGATAATCCGATAAACAATTGATCGATTCACAATAATTTTCGGACATAAATTTGTGATTTCGTACAAATTTCATTTCGTTTTTTACTAACCTTTGGATCCACTGTGAGAATAATGATGCCTGAAAACAGTGAAAGAAAACCATTGGGTTTCAGCGTTTCAACTAGGAAACTTTTTTCGACAATGTCATTTAGCAGAGCTATAAATACAAGTTTACAGCCTTAGTAAATGATGTCATTGAGAATGTTCTTCACTAAAGCATCTTTAATGTCTGAAAACGTGATTAGTGATAAGAGGAACAATCCTAGACAAACGTTATTTCCACTCGTTGACGTTTATCGTAAAAAATAATAAATGGTAAGTTAGGGGTGTACTTGCACATAGAACCGATGAAGTTGGATCGGTACTTAATAATGAGACAAAAAGGTCACCGGAAAATGCTGAAAAACTTGCAGTTTCTGACGTCTTATACGTCAGCAAAGAGAAGATAATCGATCCGAGTAGAACAACTGCTCATGTAAGCGAATGATAATTTAAAACGTACGGAACATTATTTTTAGACAATAACATGTGATAAAATAAATATGCAAACGGCAAACCAAAGATCGATTGTTATATAATCTCGAATGAGTCAAAATTTTCAAACAAGAATTTGTCTGAATCTTTAATTTTATGGTGTTGTCCATTTAACAGTCAGACAGACATCAACATCAATGAAACAAATGTGCGTTGGCCCAGGTCGCTATAACTGATTAGCACGAGATGGAAATAACAAGAGACAAAATGAAAATGAAGTGGAAAAAGGAAAACTAAACTGTGGGAATATGGTTTAAAAAGACATTCGATTAATGTTTATTCTTATATCCTAAACTTATCCACACATTTTACCATTGTCATTATTATTATTATCTTTATCACTATTATTACACTTACTAACTTTTTGAGAAATCTATTCAGCATCCAGCCCTATCTACTATACCTGACCTAATTCATATTATTCTACACATGACGTAATTTCTGATTTTTATTCCATTATTCTCTCTCACCCCATATTGACCACATTTATTCTGATCATTTAGGTCACAATTTCATTTCACTTATAAACTGATTCAAGTTAACACTTTATATCAGTCAACCCCAACATTAACGATCTGATTTAGTTTTATATGAAAAACAACAATTCTTGATTCACATATTGCAATTTTAAATGATGTACTCTGCCTTAAACTTGGCGAATTTTATGGATTATTAAATTGGATTTATAATTGTAGAACCTGATGAGAAATTATTGAAAAGGATATTCTTCGTTCATATAATTGTGTTTTAATTCATGTTCTCATGCCTAGGCCGTAATATGCATTTTTCATCGTATATACACTCCACTTTTAAGCATGAAGGGTAATGATATAAATGTATGAATGACATAGTCTTCAATGGGATAATTTAATGGACACAACTGAAACTCGAACATATAACTTAGGAATAAAAATAAAGCAACTAGTCTCACCTTCTTCACATAAATGTAAAACAGCGACGGCAAGAACTTCGGTTGTTATTCGACTGAAATCCGATGAATTTAATTGATTCTTAACCAGGATAGGATCACGAGAATCTCCCAATAAAGTGAGCTGTAAATTAAAAGTTTAGTGAAAAGCAATCAAATTTATTTCTGTTAATACATTTGGTATCATGATGAGCTTGATGGTTAAGGAGTTCGACTTTCAGTCAATAAATCTTAGATTTACGCCCCAATAATCCTACTTTCGTTTGGGCAACTGAGTAGCATCATTAAACACTTAGTGTAGCTCATCCCGACCGTTGTTGCTACCTTGACGTGGTGGTCCGGCTTGCCTATCGTGATGACCCAACCGAGCCATACTGGCTGGAACAACCGTTCCTCAAGGTCCTACCATGTCAGAGAGGTCGGTTGAAGAGCGGCAAGACTAAAAGCAACAAACTTAAGGTCCGAAGGCGAAGTCGTACTGCTGACTGTACAGAGATGTAACAGCAGTAAGGTGTTTCCTTCAGACAACCAGCATAACAGCGATGCTGCCATCCCACAAGGAGGGGTGGGGTTAGAAAAGGTCGGCCCTATAAATGCACACCTCGTCTTATCCCACGGATATCCGTCTCCGGCGGTAAGGTCTCAACAAGTACGGAGCTAACACAAAAATTACCCATAAAAACGTCGTGTGTGACCGACCTCAAGCAGTTGTCCCTTGGGCTATGCAGTCACGCTCTCAGGTCACTAAGACCACCTCTAATCCAATTTCCTTTTCAGGTACCTCCAGAAGAACCCTTCCACGGTGTGGGCAACCGGGAAGTTAATAACCACCCTCATACCTCTAACAGCACTCAAGACCACTGTATTCATAATCAACCTCCGTCTTCACTTCCTATTATTCCTCCTACATCGAGTTTTACCTCTAAACTTCCTTTTTCGGCTTCCCCCTCAAGTGTCACCATAGCCAACGATTCTAGTGCTCAAAACACTGTCCCACGTCTACTAAAACCTTGCTCCAAACTACACATTAAAGCCTTCAACGTACGAACCCTATGTCAAATCTGTCAACAGGCTTCCCTGGCTAGAACTCTAGAATCTCTGAAACATGCATACAGGATTCCAGTGTGGTCATTCACTTGACCTCACCTCAGCAAAACGGAAAGCCAACGAGATACACCCTCCGTGTATCTGGTGACCCGACGGCCAGCTCTCGTGAACTGGCAGGAGTAGGCATACCACTAAGCATGAAGGCGGAACAAGCACTGTTAGAGTGGATCCCCGTTAACAGTCGTTTATGTGCTGTTCGGCTCCGTAAGAAGTCGGAAGGATAGGGACACGTCGTTACCTTTTTGTCGTTTCTGCCTACGCTCCCACCGACTGCAGCTTATATGAAGTGAAAGATGAATTTTACAGAAAGCTATATGAACTTCTGCAGAAAGCTAAACGTTCAGACATAGTACTCGTAGCAGGTGACTTAATGCCCAGATAGGTAGTTTAAACCAAACAAAAAGGCATTTAGGTGGGTATTTTAGTATTCCGGCACAACGAACAGATGATGGTGATCGTCTGCTGCAACTGTGCTCAGACAATCGTTTATTTTTAGCACACACTGATTTTAAGCATAAGGAGAGACATTGTCTTATATGGCGACCCTCTACACCAAAGCAACGATGGACTCAAATAGACCATATTGCCATCAGTCATCGTTGGAGAGAGTCGGTAGAAGATTGTCGCTCATTCTGGAGTATCTGCTTGGACTCCAACCACGCCTTAATACGGGCACGCATCTGCTTGCGCCTCACTGGACGCAAAAAAGCCACACTAAAAAGAGCCACCAGGACTGAATTGAGTAGCGAGAAAACCAAAAGTAGGTTCCAGGAACAACTGAGGTCACAATTAGATAGTTCTGAAAACGAGGTTGACCCAGATGTTGCTTGGAAAGCTATGCAAACTGCTGTGGAAACAACAGTGACATTTATCAGTGATTTAAACCACAGGGTTACAAAGAACCAATGGACTTCCTCTAGGCCAATTGCACTGATCGATTCTCGTAAACTCATCCCATCAGGCTCTGAACACGATGAAGAGCGAAAACAAATCAGATCTAGGTTAGGCAAAAGTCTAAGGAACGACCGTGAGCAGTGATGGACAACGAAAGCAAAAGAGATGGGAAAGGCGGCGGCTATAGGGAACACAAGACAGCTCTACAGACTAATAAAAGAAACTGGAATTAATAAGTCAAGTGTAAGTCCGACTGTTCCGGTAAAAGACAATACCCTCATCTGCTCTCAGTCCAGACGTTTAGAACGATAGGCGGAACATTTCAGAGAACAGTTCAGCTGGCCTCCAGCTACTCTACAACTACCCTCCATTCCCAGACAATGTGGATGGGACATTGAAGTAGGTCCCCCAACACTAGCAGAAGTTCAAAAGGCTATAGTTATTCTGAAACGAGGAAGGGCAGCTGGTCCAGATGGATTGGCTCCAGAGGTCTTTAAGGATGGTGGTCCAATTTTAGCGATTAGGTTGACTAATATTTTAGCTAAGATCTGGGAGTTAGACGTTATTCCATCTGACTGGTCACAATCACTTATCGTCCCAATATATAAGAAAGGGTCAAAATCATCTTGTGACAACCAGAGGGATTAGTTTAGTCAGTCAGTCAGTAACAACGTAGAACTTCGTATGTACGTACATCAGTTCGAGTTGCCACACCACAATAGCACAAAGATGCAGTTGTCGATTCAGATCCCGTAGTGGTAGAGGTAATAAGAGTATAAGCAGTAATCGGGAAGATTAGGGTTTGGAGATGTTATTTAAAGAGTATAATCCAGTGAAATAAATTTGGAAAGAGGAAAAAAGGGACATGAATTCAGATTAGAATTTGGGAGAACACAGAGAGTGGATGCACATGCGCCATTGCAAACGATTTTGAGCCATGTCATTCAGGGTCTCTAACCATCGGTTGCTATCATCTCGCGGTCCCCAACCACGTAGTCTACACCTACCAACATGGCTCAGTTCACTTGTCAGTGACTTCATGGACTTGTACCATGTTTCGGTTTGGCCGCCCCTAGCTTTCTTGCAACCTACTCCTATACCACTGAACATAGCACGTCGAGGCAGTCGGTCGTTGGGCATACGTAACACGTGTCCCAGCCATCTCAACTGATGAAGTTTCACTACTTCATCAATTGATTTGCCATCCTTACTTAGTACCCGTTTCCTAACAACTGTGTTACTTACTCGATGGTCCCATGATATACGAGAAATGTTTCGAAGACACCTATGATCAAACACTAGTAACCTACGGATATCCTCTACTCTTACCGGCCATGTTTCACTGCCATAAAGTAGGACGGAACGAACTGCTGCGCAGTAAACACATCCTTTGTTTGATAGACGGATATCTCGCCTACGCCATAAATGACGCAAGTTGGCAAAAGCTAGTCGAGCCTTCTGTATCCGTGCTGAGATTTCGTCACACACTAAACCACAAGGGCTGATGAGACTTCCAAGTAAAGTGAAGCGATCGACACGCTCAATTACTTCACTCCCTATCATTAGTTCGGGTGTCAATGCAACCCAATCCTGAAGCAACATTTTGCATTTCGAGGGAGAGAATCGCATCCCGAACATGCTTGCATTGTTGCTTAGAGTGGTCAGAAGACTCTGCATTTTGTCAGCGTCTTCACCACATAAAACTATGTCATCAGCATATTCTAAGTCAACAAGTGAATCACAAGGTAGGAGTTCAACCCCTGGAAATTTAGATGAGGAGAGTGTTATCTCTAAAAGTACGTCAATGACAAAGTTGAACAAGAATGGGGAGAGTGGACAGCCCTGAAGAACACCACTTGAGGTGATCAATTCTGATGACAGTTCGCCATAAGCTCTCACTCGACCTGTTGTGTTCGAGTACAGAGCCCTTACAAGGTTAATGTACTTCTTTGGTACTCCTTTCAGTGACAAACACTGCCATAGAACCTCACGATCAACAGAGTCGAATGCCGCCTCAAGGTCGAGAAACACTACCATTGTGGGGCGTCTGAATGTGAGTCTATGTCCTAGGACCTGACGTAGTGTGAATATCTGGTCTATACAACCACGCCCAGGTCGAAAACCAGCCTGATTTTCTCTAGTCTACTCTTCACGAGCTTTAGTTAGGCGTCGAAGTATTGTTGAAGCTAATATTTTAGACACTATATTAGTCAAACTGATTCCTCTGTGATTGTCACAAGAGGACTTTTGTCCTTTCTTATAGACTGTCACAATCAGTGATTGAGACCAGTCAGATGGGATTACGTTCAGTTCCCAAATTCTACCTAAGACCTCGGTTAATCTCATTGCTAATACTGGACCACCATCCTTAAAAATCTCAGGAGTAAACCTGTCAGGGCCTGCTGCACTCCCTCGTTTCAGATTTCCTATGGCTTTTTCAACTTCGTAAAGGGACGGAGGACCTACATTAACTTGCCATTCAGGTTGACTAGAGATCGTGGGAAACCGAAGTGTGGCTGAAGGCCAGTTGAACTGATCCCTAAAGTGTTCTGCCCATCGATCCAATCTCCTGGGTTGAGAATGAATAATAATAATAAGCAGAATCAGGGCTTCCAGATACACGAAGCGTAAATCGAGTCGGTTCTTCATTTTGGCATGGTGAGGTCAAATGAATGACGCTACTCGGATCCTGTATGCGCGTTTCGGAGACGCAGCACACATCGATGGCGCGAGATTCTAAAGTTTTAGCTAAGGAAGCCTGCTGTCCTATTTGGCAAAGTGTTCGTACGTTAAAAGCTCCTACGTGTAGTTTAGAGCGTGGTTTCAGGAGACCGGGAATGGCGATCCACGTACTCGAATCGTTTGCCCTAGCAATGCGAGGTGATAAAGAGACGTGAGGAGGGTTAGTCGGGGAGATAAGAGAGGTATTAGGAAGTGTAGGAAGGATTTGAATGTGACCACCTTGGTCTCTTGTGCTGTTACGGGTATGAGGGCTGATGTCACTTCCCGGCTGCCCACACCGTGGAAGGGTATTTCTTGAGGAACCTGAAAAGGAAATTGGATTAGTGTTGGTCTCAAAGACCTGGGAGCGTGGCCGCAGAGCCCAAGGGACAGCTGCTTGAGGCCTGTCGCGCACGGCCTTTTTGTGGAAGGTTTTTGACGTGTTAGCTCCGTTCTTCAAAGAGCCTTACCGCCGGAGACGGAAATCCGTGAGGTAAGGTCAGGTGTGACATTTTTAGGGTCGACCTTTTCTAACCCCACCCCTCCTTGTGGGAAGGCAGCATCGCTGTCATGCTGGTTGTCCGAGGGAAACACCTTACTGCTGTCACACCCCTCTATAGTCAGCAGTACGACTTCGCCCTCAGACCTTGAGTTGCTGCTTTTAGTCTTACCGTTCACCAATCGACCTGCCTGGCACGGTAGAACCTGCAGGAACATATGTTCCAGCCAATATAGCTCGGTTGGGTCATCACGATAGGCAAGCCCGACCACCGCGTCAAGGTAGCAGCTTCGATCGGGTATCGAAAATACTAGCCTCGATAATTATCAGACGCCTAACTAAGACTCGTGAACTGCAAACACGAGAGAATCAAGCTGGCTTCAGACCTGGTCGTAGCTGCATCGACCACATATTCACCATTAGTCAGATTCTAAAACACAGGCATACTTATCGGCGTCCGACAATGGTGGTCTTTCTTGACTTAAAAGCAGCATTTGACTCGGTAGACCGCGAGATTCTGTGGCAGTGTCTGTCATTGAAAGGCGTACCTTGGAAGTACATAAACCTTGTGAAGGCTATTTACTCGAACATTACCAGTCGAGTCAGAGCTTATGGCGAACTGTCATCTGCTTTTGCAACCTCAAGTGGTGTCCGTCAAGGCTGTCCAATTTCTCCATTTTTGTCTAACTTCACCATAGACCTATTGATGGAAATAACACTCTCGTCGACTGAATTCTCGGGTATTGATCTCCTACCAGGAGGTCCACTTATCGACTTAGAATACGCAGATGACACAGTCCTGTTTGGTGAAGACGCTGATAAAATGCAGTCTTTTGGTAGCACTAAGCAACAATGCCAGAATGTTTGGAATGCGCTTCTCTCCCTCTAAATGCAAGCTGCTGCTTCAGGACTGGTCTGCATCAACACCTAAACTAAGGATAGGGAATGAAGTAGTCGAAAGCGTTGACAGCTTCACTTATCTTGGAAGTCTGATCTGCCCTAATGGGTTGGTGTCTGACAAAATCTCAGCACGGATTCGAAAAGCTCGTTTGGCTTTTGCCAACGTCACCTATGGCGAAGGCGAGATATCCGACTATCAATAAAAGGATGAGTATACTGCGCGGCAGTCTGTTCTGTTTTAATTTACGGCAGCGAAACATGGCCATTAAGAGTAGAAGACACTCGTAAGCTACTAGTATTTGACCACAGATGCCTTAGAAATATTGCTGGCGTCTGCTGGGATCACCGGGTAAGTAATAGTGAGGTTAGACGCAGGGTATTAGGGAATGATGGTAAATCAGTCGATGACGTTGTTAATCTTCATCGATTGAGATGGTTGGGCCACGTGTTACGTATGCTGAAACACCGATTACCACGACGTGCAATGCTATCCGGTATTGGAAATGGTTGGAAGAAAGTTAGGGGCGGCCAAACCAAAACTTAGTATCAGTGCTTGAAGACACGAACTTCTGGTCTGAGCTATGTTGGTAGATGCAGACTACTTGGTTGGGGTCCGCGTGACTATCGTAACCAATGGTTGGAGACTCTTGGTGACATGGTTCAGAATCGATCACAATGGCGTCGGTGTATACACTCTCTGTCTTCCCTTAAACTAAGAGATTAAAATCGCTTCATAACTTTCTTTCAACGAACCAATTCTTTCTTCTTGTACTATATCTCTATATGCAATCTTTCTCTTACATATTACTACCTTTGACCTAACCACTGATATGAATCCGGTGTTCATCTTGTTGTGCTGATGCGGTATGGCAACCTGGACCGATGCACAAATGTGCCTGGTCCTACGTTGTAGCTGACTGACTAGTGTAGCTCATACAAAGGTAGCCGGCGAATGCTTATTACTATTATTAATTGTTAGAGACTAAAACATTGTTCCTTGAGATATATATATATATATATATGCATGGTGAAAAACCGAAAGAAACATCTCTGTGCTCTAATTACTGTTTTACTTAATACCCATATAGGAATTTTCACTACATAGCAATATAATGACGCTACGCTCACATCTAGAAAGGGAATAGAAAATTTATAAAAGAACTTTGCTAAATGAAAGTATAGTTTAAATAAATAAATGTTTATCTTATAGAATGATTAGCTACCCAAGTTACTACGTCTGAGTGTTTGATTTTACAAAATAGGGAAAATAGCTCCGGGTTTCGTTCAATGACAGTATAAGCCAAAACTACGTATAACTGATATGATGGATAAGAATTACCCCTAATAGTCAGGTTTTAACTGACTGAAGGGTGAGTAATTTTTTTTGTTAATAGTTTGTAGGTTTTTTTATTTAATCAAGTTTTTTGTTCAGTGCTCATGTTTCTTGATATCTATACAACAGGGAACATAATTAAATAATTCGTTCTTGTAAGTAGTTAGCACTCAGTAATACCAGGTTATTACATTTCATTTACCGGTTTGCACTCTTCGTTCTAATAATCCAAAACTCATATTATTAAAACCTTATTTGATAACATCCATCATTTCATATTTTTAAAGTGCTATCCACTCTGATACTGCAAAAGTAGCTGTCAACCGAAACCCAGTCTTAGAACGATCCCTCAGCTATTTAACTCAATCCTTCACATAGACCTCAGGCCCGACAAGATCTAGCCCTTCCATTGAAGTTGGTTTTGGTTGTGCGAAATTGTATAAACCGATGGCATTCGCCAATAAGGCTACAGATGTAATATTTAGATCTTGCAGGTTAACATTACAATAAAAAATGACTACAAAAACTTACTAATCTAAGGGCGATTTTCCTGTTTTCATCAACAGCGTGCGTGGTATTGTAATTGTTTTCAGCAAGATTGTTTGATGACTGGACCATGTTGTTCAAATTAGATGATCTAACCTGGTCAAATTTACGATTACATGGTTTCTGAACTGCTGCTTGAATATCCGGGAAATTCGGTTTGTTTATTAAGTGAGGACGTGAAACAGAAGATTGTGGTTTAAACGGAAGAGTTGGATTTGAGCTACCATAAATCGCCGTGTTTGGAACACATTTAGGATAAGACCAAACAGGTTTTTGGGTACTGACTTCATCTCCACCACTGACCGATAACCTTTCTTTTTGCAGGTATGCAGGCTTCGAAAAAAACCCAAACAAATGAAGGTCAGTCATACGTGTTTAATAAGTGGGTCGGGACAACAATCCAAGTACAAAACCAATCAGAGATAAACTGATATCATCACTGAATGTCATTAAATAGAATACTATATTCATGTATTATCAAAGTAAACAGACACTAGAAATGTAAAAAGAGAGGGTCACTAGTGTACAGTGTCAATATTTAACTAACAGCTTGATTGTGTACACATACTAGGAACTAGACTACGTTTGTAGTTAGGAAAGTTAAGTTTCACATAACTTAGACTAGTGTTTTCGGTTGATTGAGATTTAAAATGTGTTTTTACTACAGTAACAGACGCCTCTTGTCGGTTTTACGTAGTTATTTCTGACAAAGTCCACAAAACCAAACTCAGTGAGGTGCTCGTTGACTTTCAGAAATAGTGACTGATTGGGACTTTCGGGTTTTTTGGTTCTCATTGCATAAACTTTGATTAAGTATACTAACCCACAAATATCTTGATGTTAAGACGATACACAAATGAAGCAATAACCCCAAGAACAAAAATAGAGAAGTATAGTAAACTTGAAATATTAAACACTAATACCAATTATTTGAACCAGTGGAACAGAATGAAGAGTTGAATCCTTAGACTACAGTAAGATTCTGAATAAAACGGAATTACGTCCAAAAACGATGTTTGGTTTCAGGAAACTAATGAGAAGATTTAAGAGATTTACCTCAAAAGGATCAGAGGAACTGACTTGCCCAATGAAATGGATAAAAGACGTGGTGCAGGATGCACTGTTTTTGGAAATGGATGTCATATTATCAGAAGTGGATTTTGTATGGAAGCTCTGTACTTCCGAATGGACAGGTTGTTTTGTTTCGTTAAAAACATTTGATGTCGAGTTATTCTGCAAATTCCCAGCAGCTTCCGCAGCCAGTTTTCTGAGCATTCGAGGAGGTAAATTAGAATTAGTTGTTGATATGCCGTTACTCAGAGTAATAACGGAGTTCCGTAGTTTTGGGTTGACACCACGTACCCACCCTAAATCGCTACTGACTTCATTTTTCTCCGTTCTTTTGGTCCAGCTGTCAGTGTTATTTGGTTTAGAGCCTTGATGAGGAATATTGTTTGAATGGGACAAATCGTTTTTGCTAGACAAAAAGCGCCGATTAGCTGTGGCAACACCAGCCTGTGGGCGTCCATGAAATTGACTGATGGGGCTCTCTCCAATACGATTTCTGTTATCCAACAAACAGAAATCACGAGGACTTTGACGACAGAGTTCTTCACCCATTCGCGCCAACTCCATCCAACTTTTAGCTTCACCAGTATTAAGTCCATTATTATTTTTCGATGAACTAGAGCTCAGACCACTTACGAAAGGAAATTCGCCATTCACTGAAGAGTTACTTGAAGCTGATGAGTGACCCATAAAAGCACTTCCAGGTACATCTGGCTGTGTGACAGAGCGCTCACTTGGAGTTGGGGCAACAAGGACTCCAGATTCCTAAAAAGTAAAGCGGTATTAAAAACAATGTGGCGGAAATGGAAAACAGAAGAATTTAGGGTGAGACTATAATTTATGGACGATCTTTGAGCGACGCTGAAGTGACCTTGAGGGTGAACAGCTACTAATTAGGACTAAATGAGGGTTATACAGCAGTTAGAATTCTCATTTACAGTTGATGGTTAGGGTTAAAAATTAGATTTAAGGTTTTCATCACAAACTGACATCAGCTATAATGCCAAAACTCTATTTAGCCAAATGTATGAATGAATTCCGCGCCCGAATTCGTGACTCGTCGTCTTATATCTGATTGATTCGTCCATAAATTAGTCTCGCCAAATTTGGTTGTTAGAATAATTAGTGGTCTCTTAGAAGGAAATAAAACCAGTTCGTTATGTTGCTCAAATGTAATAAAATCCATGATAATTGAGAACCAATGAATTATTAGCCGTAAAACAACTGTATTATTTTTATTTGCATCCACATGAACTTCAGTACACAGAAGCACTTACCTCCCTCTACCAACTAACGCGAATCAATTGGATTGCAGAAATATTTTTTCTTGGTAATTAAACAATTCCAAGCAACTCCATCATTTGCAAAAATAATGTAGCCTGTAAATAAACTACATGTAACGTTTTGCTTATTGTAACTCGGAAATTAAAGAACATAGACTGGATTTATCTTATTCTTAATAGGCTTCAGATAATTCCAATTGCTGGATCCTCAATGAAGTGGATTTAACAAACTAGTAAAACCAAAAGTCATCAATTTTTACTTCGTCCCTCTTTGTGTTTTCATTTTTATGTGGAGTATTGATACTCACTAACAAAATTGATAGGACCACTACAAAATTTAACAATTATTGGATGTGATCACCAGTATAAAAGATAAGAACTTTGATTCATGTTAAGGCAAACTTAATGGCAAGAAAATACTTTGAAGACAGATTTTTAAAAATTAACGTTGACACAAAACATTCGGCAAAATTTTACTTTTAATATTTCCAAGCGAATATCTCGAAGGAAACGTGGCTTGTTTGTTTCAGTACGCTGACCAGCTCGACGTGGAATCCAATTGTTTTCCCTTAGGTCTATCAAATCTTCAATCATGAACCGCACTCTAGAAGATAAGATGCAGTTATCATTCGGCTTCGAAAACGACTTTTTTCCTTCCGTAGATACATTTTCATGTTTGTTGGATGTTAATCCATTTGAATCGTAAGCGCGTGATAATATACGACGCAATCGATGAAAATATTGATCCATTAAGTTTTTCGCTTTCGGTGTGTCCATGTGCTTCCCAACAGCAGTCAAGAACTGACAAAGACATTCCAAGTCAGCGGACAAAGAGCGCTCCCGAATTGTATGGGCTGCAAAAAACATTTACACAACTGCATAAAAGCCTATAATGAGGGTTGACTTAGCGAAAACTAAGACAAGACAATGATCAATACAACATTAGAGCAATGATATAATTCATTTACCGAGTATGCCTGTATTTATTGCGTACCGTAAAGGTCGGTGGTATAACCTGGTTTTCTAAAGCAATATGGAGTCTGAACATATGATCTACTGATTAAAATTCAAGTGATTTAGCCATTAGGCCGGTTCTTTGCTAGCAGTATCCAACTGATGATCTGGATCAACTCACAGATAAATACTTATATGTCCATTAGGGTGGGCGATCCTAAACCTGCCAATTTAATTCGTATTCCACTGAATATCCATGAACCTCAACAAACATGGACGAGCGAAATTTAATGTAGAGATTAATCATAATTAAAGATATCCAGCTTGGGGACAGTAGTCTTTGATGCCAGTAGTCGTAATTCCACTAAGAAAGGTTACTTGTCTCACTTCAACTAAACTTTATGTAGTGATAATTTTAACACAGATATTGGTACAAGGAGGCACCAAATATATACGCGCCACCCAATTCTCATTCGACATGTGTGAGGGCTGTGATACTACCCGGGTGCACAAACCGAAGCAGGTGGTTTTCTTAGGGAGGCCACTTCCCTCAACTAAACTGAAGAATAGGGGAATGAATTACCATCTGTCTCATAAAAGCATCAAACCTAGGAGAAGTCATCAACAAACTTAAAATAGGCACCCACTAACCTACTCAGAAGTGTTCTGAAGTCTCGAATAATGAGCAGATATGTTGTAAAATGATAGTAATTTTTATTGGTTCCTCTTACGTAGAAAGCAATCGAAGTTACCGACCTAGAAATAAACAGGTAGCTTCAAAGTACCAAGCGAACGGGTAAACAACGGTTTAGGTCTGATAGTCTAAAACAAGATCAACGGGGGATTAGTGAGCGCCTGCAGGCTTTTGTATCAAGCCCAGAGCAGCTGCTGAAAAGAAAGATATACATATTCCTGAACCAATTAGACTGACATTTCATACATCGATTCACTGACCTAATGAACAAGACTTTTTTGACCTAACATGATACTTACGAAAATTCTACTCTGTACTATAAAAGTTTACTCGCCTGTTTTGTTTTTTTCCTGCGCAGATGTATGTATCTCCGAATCGTTGACTGAACTAAGTTGGCCTTTCCTGGAAAGAAGTTCTTGAACACAGTTATGCAGAACTTTTTCGGACATAACACCACAAATCCCAAGTTCAGCGATGAAGCGTAGATTCCCCAAGCACTTCTGACGTGAGATCTGATCATCACAAACATCTCTGGTCTTGAACTCATCTTCACAACACTTAATTAAGAATATCTGAAAAGTCTGAAGGGAGGTTAACAATTCAATTAATTTACCGATTGAGAACCTCCTGACTCGAAATTAGGGACACTACTGCATAGTTTTAAACACAATTGGGCGTACAAAGAAGTAAATTTTGGTTCATTGATGGCTTTTTGATAAATCTAAGATGGTAAGTACTGACAATAAGCTTACTAATTGAGCAATGACATGAAGGGAAGTTGAAGTGATATCTAAGCTAAGAAGTTTATCACCCTGTTGTTCGAAATTTTCAGCAGTAAGCTTATTAAGAATGCTAATTCGGAATTATTCAAACGGAGCAAACTTACAACAGAACCTCCTTACGAATAGAATCGGTATGGCTTGATTTTGAAGCCAGCGTGACGCCAGCGGTCCATCTCGATGTGTGAGGCTCACGTAAAATTTCTGATTTATTAGAGATTAAGTAACTATCTGAAGACTTGTTATTCCGACCGGCTGTCTCTAAGCAAGCAGTCCTTCCAGCTTTGTCCAGAATGTTGATATTAAAGGGCGAATAACTTTGATCCCAAACCAAACCTAACAGAAAAACACTGAAGATGAAACAAAAGCCAATACATATAAAACAGGCCCGCAGTACAGAGCCACAATCGGAATTTGTATTTACTTACAGGGGAATTGAAACTAAATGGACTCTGCCGCCAGTTTCGTTAGTTATTAAAACAAGACGTTTATGATTGAGGTCAGATTTGACATTACTTCTATACTCGCAACCATCCCTATCTTCCAATCTTTTTTCAGTACTTTTTACATGATCTACACAGTTCTGGATTTTGGTTTTTCAGGGATTATTTGGTTACGTATGTCTATTATCCCTCGTCAAAGAGCATAGGCCGCTCACAAGAACTCTCCACCTAACCCTGTGCTGGAAAATCTTTTCCAGTTCTTTCCAGTCGCTATTCATCCTTCTCATGTCTGGCTCAAATTCTCGGCTCAGCGTGTTCATTGTCCTTCCACTTTTCCGTTTCCCTTCAGGATTCCAAGTTAGCGCTTGCTTCGTCATGCAGTTTGAATATTTCTGCACAGTCCTATCCACCTCTAGAGTCTTCTCCTAATCCTTTCAGTTGGAGGCTGGTTTGTTCTTTGCCATAGTAGGTCGTTGCTGACTGTGTTTATCCAACAGATCTGGTGCAATTGTTTGTACAATTGTTTACAAATACATATACCTTTCGGATGATGGCTGCTTAGTTCTCCAAGTTTCAGTTCCATTCGATCGAACTGTCTTTACGTTTGTATTGACAATTCTGATTTTGGTACTAGCTGACAGTTGCTCTGCTCATATGCACAGTCCAAGCAGTCTAGATGCATCCAAACCGTCCAGTGTATTTATTGCTTGTCCTGAGATGTTGAGGTCTTTATAATCCAGTCAACCACTATGTAGAAGAGGAAGGGAGAGAGTAAGCAACCCTGCCTGACACCGGTTTTCATTTGGAATTCATCTATCAACTGCCCTCCATGAACGACTTTGCACTGTAGTCCGTTGTAAGAATTCTGTATGACGATGACGTTCTTCTCAAGTACACTAGTGTCGAAGATTGTCCCACGAGGTTCTCCTATCCATGCTGTCAAGTGCTTGTGTCTTTCATTCGGTTCAGCAATATTGTTGAAAACTTGCTCTGACACTGACAATAGCATGATGACTCCATAGTTCTCACGTTTTCTCAGATTTCCTTTCTTTCGTGTCTTGATGAGGTGACCTTCTTCCCCGTCTGCCGGCACTTGTTTTTCATCCCAAATCTTCCTAAATAGCATACTTGAAGTTTCTTCAATGTTTAACTTCAGTGGTTCAGCTGTTGTATTGTCAGGTCCTACTGCCTTCCCACTCTTAATTTGTGTGATGGAAATCCTGACTTCCCCCCATCGTTGGTGGAGTGACATCTATGGGAAGGTCTGTGGATGCTGCTTCGATTTACGGTGGATTCAATGGAGTTGGTTTATTCAAGAGTTCTTAAGAGTGTTCTACCCAGCATACATATTTTTACCACAACTGGTCCTCACGCATTATTATGAACCCTTTCATGTTTCTGTAGAAGTTCTGTTCTCTGAGCTGGCTCGTTTGGTCGCACAGCTCTCATCATTCTTCTGAACGACATCATCAGCACAAAATGTTTGTGCTCAGAGAACAAAACTTCACCGAAGTCGTCCACCTAAGCTATAATTCTTGCCCACCACCCCTTCATGTTCATCACGTAGATAGTAGTGCAGAGTGTTATGATTGCTCTGGTTTTGGCCAGGTGTGTAGTGTGTTTGCGAAATAAACGTCTCCGGACAGTGTAGCGGTTAGGCTACCAAGTGATACGGATCTGAATCTGGATGTCAAAATTTCCTAGGAAGGAACATAGGACTTGGAAAGTGAACCTGAATTATTAGAGACTTTTTAAAAATGTAGATTGTCAAATGCTTAAGGAGACACATTTGTAGAGACGGGCTTCTACATAATTTTCCATTTGCATACAAATAATATTGTGCCTTTTTAGTGTAAAAAAACTAGGGACCTGAGGAGTTTAGTGGTACGAAACTAAACTGCATCTGGACATCTCTTCAGACTCCTTTCTATTACTGATTTTTCAAACCGAAACAGTGAAGGGTGAAAGCATATGCAACTCTAAACACATTATGGGAATTCTGAAAGAAAATTACGTTTAACATCCATGTGATCTTACTTCTATCATTCTCAACAGGTGATCCATGATCCGGCGACAGCAGTTTTCCGGTGACCGCATTGACCTGAGAGAAAATCATTCATTCGACACGCACTAACTGTTAGTTACCAGATCAGTTTGGTAAAGAAGTGAATGAACTGACTGCACTGAACGTCGATAACAATTTGTGACTATGCTTATCATGAAGAAGCGAATAAACATTGCATATGACGGAATCGAACATCGTCACCCAAATAGGCAACCAGGCTCGAATCAAACCCGATTGGATAAACGAATGCCATCACACGGAGTTTCAGTACATTCGGAAAAATCGATAACTCCGTTAACTTCATCTAACATATTTCTCTTTGCTTACATAATGTGTCTCACGTCATTCCTACCAGTTTTCTGAAGGGCTTTCGGCTAGTTCACAGAGTAATTTGACTTGTTTGTTTTGAAGCATCTGTATGAACATAGTAGGATACCCACTAGACTTAGGCCTAATAGCTGATGGTATTTTGAAGAGTAAGGATAAATGATCGAAGTTGGGGTGCTCTTTCAAGGATAATGTCAAACCTGGTTGTTGTTGGTAGAAGATTGTTGAAGTTGAGAATACTAGAGCTACCTAAGATTGGCTGACTTGGCATGTATGTGTATGTGCCTACATGCTTTAGAAAATCCCCAATGCATGCGCCCCATAAAGAGATATTTTAAAATTATGGTACTTGCTAACGTTGCTAGTTAATATATATTTAGATTATTTACAGGTCATATTTGCAAAGGTTTGATGTTTTAACAAGCTTATTTCGCTGAAGCATATAAATGTTACTAAAGCTTGTTAATGAACCAACGAAACTAATAATTGATATAGATGACCGGTTATCCGTGTCGATGGAGTTAGTATGCCATGAGTACTAACCAATATAACATTACGATAATACACGTGAGCACTAATCAGAGGATTAATAAAATTCTGGTTAACACAGGTAAAAATCGATCGAGAAAGTTAAAGTGGAAATAAGGATTAACAATAATAGGTTATGTTTCTTTAGTCGGCTTACCAATGTAGAATTATGGTCTACTTCGATATTATTACTGCTCTAATAATAGACCTAATCCTAAAATTGTAGGTGTGTTATGGTGTAACTGCCTAATCCATATGATGTTACGTGGAAGTCACACCAATGTCTGCCCTGATACATCGCGTTGTAACAATCATCAATACATGATGAAAAACACATTTAGACTGGAGGTAGAACGATATATTTAATATGGATAAAAATAATGTTACTTATGTAAAACCACGTCTTCACTGCTGAGCCATACCATCCGATCAATTAGAACTAAGTCAACTCATTGTTCCCTCCTTCTCCATTGTTGAGTTTTTCTCGACGTTAAATGTTGAATATCTATTTTCTCAGTATTTTCGCGTTCAACTTTGAGGATTGAGTGGTTAGGGCTCAATGACACTACAATATTTCTTCATCTACATTTGCATGTAATGTCTGTTCTATCGCTCTTTGCATTTGAGCATTATATGTCCAGAATGTTTCACTATTTCTCAGTTATTAAAGATTTAGAAAAAAGCTGACTTCTTGGTGTTTTCAAGACTTTTAACATCGACCAAATCTTCGGCTTATCCAACACTGTCTTCTGGAAATTGTCACATATGATTATATAACTTTCTATAGTTGTATCTGAGGCACGTTACCAATGTTCATGAAAGTTTCTTGTTAACAAACGGTTATTAATTTTTGCATTCCGCGCAAAATTCTTCTTTTGGAGTAGATTGCTCGTCCGTGAGACAGAATATAATATTTTCTGGGTAAGTGAAATATATTCCTAACATGAACATTTCATTTTACTGAGTTTCTATACTGGTTAGAGTGTTGGTTGGATATACTTACCACAGCTTTTACTTATTTCAAGGTCACCAAAGCGTCTCCTGAAGGTCACCCATAAATTATAGTCTGACCAGAAAGACAAAATAGAGAAAATTTGGTCTCAGAGGAGAAATTACAAGGTTGTTTGGATGCATACTTTTATTTGAAATGTTTAAAAAGTCGATTGATTTGTAAATATAAACACTATGTTTATCAAGCCTAACGTGCGTTAA